CTTCTATGATCAGGTGACCCGCCTGGTGGATGAGGGGAAGGCTGTGGATGTGTCTGTCTGGAGTTCAGCAAAGCCTTTGACAACATCTCCCACAGCATTCTCCAGGAAAAGCTGGCAGCCCATGGCTTAGACAGGGGCACTCTGTGCTGGGTTAAGAACTGGCTGGAGGGCCGGGCCCAGAGAGTGCTGGTGAACGGGGCTGCATCCAGCTGGCGGCCGGTCACCAGTGGTGTCCCCCAGGGATCAGTGCTGGGCCCAGTCCTGTTTAACATCTTTATCGATGATTTAGATGAGGGGATTGAGTCCATCATTAGCAAATTTGCAGATGACACCAAGCTGGGGGGGAGTGTTGATCACCTGGAAGGCAGGAGGGCTCTGCAGAGGGACCTGGAGAGTTGGGCTGATTCCAGTAGGATGCGGCTCAACAAGGCCAAGTGCAGGGTCCTGCACTTTGGCCACAACAACCCCTGCAGCGCTACAGGCTGGGCACAGAGTGGCTGGAGAGCAGCCAGGCAGAAAGGGATCTGGGAGTCTGGGTTGACAGGAAGCTGAACATGAGCCAGCAGTGTGCCCAGGTGGCCAAGAAGGCCAATGGCATCCTGGCCTGGATCAGGAACAGTGTGGCCAGCAGGACCAGGGAAGTGATTCTTCCCCTGTACTCAGTGCTGGTGAGGCCACATCTGGAGTGCTGTGTCCAGTTCTGGGCCCCTCAGTTCACAAAGGACATTGAGGTGCTGGAGCAGATCCAGAGAAGAGCAACCAGGTTGGAGAAGGGACTCAAGCACAAGTCCTACTAGGAGAGGCTGAAGGAGCTGAGGTTGTTTAGCCTGGAGAAAAGGAGGCTCAGGGGAGACCTCAGTACTCTCTACAACTCCCTGAGAGGAGGTTGTAGCCAGGTGGGGGTCGGTCTCTTCTCCCAAGCAATTATCAGTAAGACAAGGAGGGCATGGTCTTAAGCTCTGTCAGGAGAGGTTTAGGTTGGGTATTAGGAAGACAGAGAAGGTAATCAGGCATTGGAATGGCCTGCCCAAGGAACTGGTGGATTCACCATCCCTGGAGGTTTTTAAGATGAGACTGGATGTGGCACTGAGTGCCATGGTCTAGTAACTGCAGTCGTAGTGGAAGGATTGGACTTGATGATCTCAGTGGTCCTTTCCAACCTGGCTGATTCTATGATTCTAAGAGAGTTACAGAATTATTGAGGTTGGAAGGGACCTCTGGACACCACCTTGCCAGTCCCCTTGCAGGGTCACACAGAACTGGTTGCCCAGGACCAACTTTTGCAGGCAGGTTTTGAAGATCTCCAAGAAGGGAGATTCTACCACCTTTTTGGGCAACCTGTGCCAGATCTTGGTTACTCTTACACTCAGAAGGGTTTCCTTATGTGAACACAAAACTTCTGTGTCGCAGTTTGTGCACATTGCCTCTAGTTCTGTCAGTAGACACACTGAAAAAAGGCTGGTACTTTCTTCTTTACACTCTCCCTTCAGATATTTGTAGAATATCTCTCAGCCTTTCCTCATACCAGAGATGTTCCAGTCCCTTCATTATCTTACTGATGTTTTGCTTTAATAGCTCCACTTGCACTGGGGAGCCTAAAACGGACATGGTACTGCAGATGTGGCCTCAACCGTGCTGAGGACAACATATTTGAGAAAAAAGACAAGCTCAAGGTGTTACTTAATTATATCCAACTAATATACTGAATACTAACAGTGCACTCTGGTGCACTGAAAGGAAGGTAACATGCAGACAGTATTGACCATAACTCTTTGTCAGATGTTTTGAGTGTACAAAAGCTATTAAATTCAGAAGAAGAAATAGTCAGGAGTTTGTTAGCTTTAAAGAGAATCATAGAAAGCACAACACTACAGTAGTGCCCAGGGTATTGACATTTTGCAGCTAAGAAGGCACCTGAAAATGCCACCTTGTCTTCAAATAGAATCTACTCTATTTTATGATGAAATTTTTGAACTGTTTGTAGGACAAGAAAATGTTGCAGTTACTTTTTAGAGTGTGGGACTTCACTGTCTGGACAAAACTGCATAAAGTAGAATTACAAAACTGAAATTACAAAATTACAAGTATTTATTTAATTCTTCATGCAAAGGTAACCATCTAAGAATATGAGCCAAACTTTTAGTGAACTTATGCCATTCACTGTAAAAAAAAAACCAAAACATACTACAGTTCTTTTTTAAAATGCAAGTAACTGCTTTATTAGATTCATACTTTGCTTAAAGCATGATCTGGAAAACAAACACATTTTTAAATATAAATGACAGATCTGGAAAAAAGTCAGGCTGCGTCTCAGAATCCAGATGCAAAGACTAACAGAATATCAGCTGGAGCCTGAGGTTAGTTCCAAGTAACACCTAAACTCTTGACATTTTCAGTTCACATGCAGGTGTTTGTCAGACATCGGTATCTGGCATGAACTCACAGAAACTGCATCCCAGTTTCTCTGTTTTCCCAGAGAGCCCAGACTACCTGAATTATCCAATTGTCCCATGCTGTTTCCTAACTCCTCTGCTGCTCTGTGGCAGTCTGATAGGAATATGTCCCCTGCATCCTTCTGGAATTCAGTGTCATTCCACTGATCCTATACAGATATTAAGTCTTGTCTTTCTTCTTCAATATGGAGATTTATCAAACACTCCATAGATTTTGGTGTATCATTAGAGTGAAAGTGCAATTCCAAATAAACAGATGTACAACTATGAGTTGCAGGCAGTTATGTGAAATAGCATCTAACTGGCATCCACACTGTATACCTCATGTTTTATGTAGCTTCCAGTTTTACTACATGAAACTTTCTTTTCTAGTCAATTTTCCCCACAGTTTAAACTACAGACAATAATATTCTATTTTGAATTTGGCCACTGAGGAGTTATGTGCCTCACAGATTAAAAGCAGAGTTCAGAGAACAGATAAATGGATGATACCATGATACATATAAACTATTCTTCCCTCAAACACACTCAAAAGGTGAAAAACAACACTGATCACCTATTTAAAAAAATATGCTTACTAGTAAAGACAAATCTGTTGCTTCCAGAAATGGGCCTATCAAAGCACTCGTTAGTAACTTTGAACTTAGCTATAAAGCAAGATGCTCTAAAGAATCAGTGCTTTCGAAGTCAGTCAACTCTGTAGTTAAAAGTTCCATGGTGGAAGCCTTCTCTGGTACAGATAGCATTACTAACACACAATCCAAGATCAGTGTACTCCAGAGAATAAACTGCAAACACAATAAAAAGAAATATTTTAACTTTTGTTTGCCACAGATCTTGAAGGAGTTTACAGAAGGTATGATCTGACTCTCCAGAATTACACTAAGCACCCACAGAGCCATCTGCCTTGATATCTTCTGACTTCAGAGCTTAGTCATTTTTCAGCTGTAGCAAGATCACAGTGGTTTTTTCATAACACAGAGCAACCTTCCATTACAAGCTGAAGAAATACATTATATCTAGCATTATATCTACTTTTACAATCTAAACTATGTCAAACTAGTTTATAAACTAGAGTCTGGATTTGTTGACACTGTATCTAGACAGAGTTCTGGATCCTAACTCTCAAAAACCAAAGCACCAACAAGTGGTTGGATGGTTCCCTTCCAGACTGTTTAGAACACCATTTTCCCACGGCAAACTGACTGTGCACAACCTTCAGCTACTACTGCATATAAAACATTCAAATTAACAACATACCAATATAATGACTGATGATACTAACATGCACCTCCTACCTTCAGATTAGCCACTAATGCAGACAGCCATTAATAGCCCTGTATAAATGGATGTACACACACCAAAATGATAAATCCACTTAAGGAATGGATTATAGCTCTTAGCCTTTAAGCAAACATTGGGTAAGGCTGAGAGAGGAAGAAGTTGTTCAATTATTACAGAGTTTCGTAGGAAGTATTTTCCTTCACTGGTTTCCTTTCACATCTGCTATAAAATTATTATGTACTTGACCTACACATTTTCAACACATTTGATCAAATGTTAATATTATATTTAAACCCACTACAAAGATAAACCCACTAAAAAGTTTTGTAAATACATCTATTTAATCTCCTGGGCTTTAGTTCAAATTCGGCTTGGGTTAGAAACGTAGAAGAGTCTGGAGATCTCATCCTTGTGCCTACAAAGGATGTCTGTGCCCATTACAAAAATCACTACACGCTCTGTCCCTTCTCAAAAGAAGAATAAAACATGAACAGCAGGGAATGTGTCAGCCAGGAAGGAGACAGTAATAGAGTAAAGATATTAAGACTGACGTCAGCCAACAAGACAAATGTCAATTTCAAAAGTATGACGCATGGCTGCAAAAAGATTACAAATAAGGCAAGGAATAAAGGAACAACTTTTGCCCAAATGTCTGAATAGATTTGAAAGAATATTATAACTGCATTTTCTTGCACAGTATGTTGAAGTTTTATCTTAGCACTCAAACACTAGCAAAGGACTGTATAAATGTAACCAATACCAATAGGATGGATTCCGTGAAGGATGCCATCATCTGCATATCTCTGTTGAATAAGTTTTAATGACAGAAAACAGTTTCAGCTTTGTAGTAATGGTAGATAAAGACTCCAAAGCTGTAATATAAATACATCCTTCCTAAAAATTCCCTGGTCAACGTATTAATTAAAAAAAAAACAAACTAACAAAGAAACCCCCCAAAAAATAAAACCCAAGACACCAACCAAAAAAAACACTATCTCAACAAAGGAAGAGAGAAAGCAGCTTGTAAAAAATTATCTGCCTCCTGTCCCAAAACAACATACTTTAAGAAAAAGACTTTGAGAGGAGCCTCTTTCTCTACAAAGACCATTTATTGGATTTTCACCTATATAAGCCCCAGAACACATGGTTTCAAAATTTTGAAAATTGAAAAAGCTTCTCCATTGCACCTTTTTGGTCAAAAAATGTTAATTCAACTGAAGACAACCACTAGACAGTTCACATACCTTCAGCATTTACATCCTCATTTAAAATTCTCCACTAGAAGATTAATCACAGGCAACTTCATTAAAGAATTCTCAAACGACCCCACAAAAATCAGTCTTTGGTCTACGCTGCAAAGCAGTATAGTTTAGGTAGGATTTGGTCCTACCTGTTCATTAGTAAATGTTTCTTCCTATAACAAGATTTTATGAACTAGTAGAATATTTTGCTAAGCATGTAAACAATATGTCAATTTTCAGCTGCAAACCCCGTATTTCCAGAAATCCGACTGAAAAAGTACTTCTAACCTTGCCTTCCCATACAGTTACATATACAGGTCAATTTAAATCAAGAGTCCAATTCAGAAAAAATACAGCTACAAATATCCATATATAGATCCCTAAGTATTTCTTTAAAAAAGTTCCAAAGATTCCTTGGGAAAACTTGGATGAATATAGTATTAAGTGTTTTAGTAAAAAGAGTAAAGGAAAAAAAGCAAGCATAGGTTAAATGACCAACTAAAAGTATCCATAAAATCCACAGTCACTGGTTAAGCATCTGTGTTCAACACAGCTAATCTTACACCCTCATTTTACAGCTTTTCTTTCAACCGAACTTTCTCTTGGCAGTGATCCTATAATTTAGATACTAAACACCTCTCTGAGACTAGAGAATGTTATTTCATTAAATACATTAAATGGTAGAATGGCAGCTGGGTGAACATGTGCTTTCTCACATGCCATCAAACACAGGGGAGGGAAGGATGAGTTCTGGTCCCCAGAGTTGTCCTTCCCAGCTCCAGTCCTGAATTCACAGGGCAGTGGAAAACTACAAGTGCAGTAAATTTAAGCAACAGCAGTAAGTAAATGGTGATTAAAGCAAGGTAACAAATGCACATACATCTCAAAGAGGGGCCATGATGAGCTGCACTCCACAAAACACCCCATTTTTACATCCTAGAAGCCATAATATTTCTCAAGACTCTTATTATGGACATGGTAAGGCTAAAAGTGGCTATGACCTCTTCCTGCCTCAGATCACCAGGTAGAACATTTTTACTCACAAAAGTATTTTTATTTTCAAGCTTTTTTGCCAAGATTTTCTACCTAATAATTTTTTGAGCAACTGTGGGTCACAGTGCATCATCCTTTCTAGTATTAACCAGTAGGATGCAAGTCTATTATTCCAGATGCAAAAAGATACTGAAGCTTTTCTTCCCTCTTCCTACCTGTAGGAGACTTACGGGTTTAATAATATCTAATCATGTTTCATCAGAAACTCCTCAGTATTAAGTAAGATGAAAAAGAAAAAAACTGTAGATGTTTTTGTAAAACTTATAACAGGACACTTTCGGATTCCTGGGAAAAATTGCACAATAAAAACTAAGAAGTAAGAAGTTTCCCATTGTAATGAAAAAAACAAACAGTAGTCTTGGGCAGAAATGTTACATAACAGCAGAACTGAGTCCTGTGCTCTAACATTCTCTCTCAAAAGCATAGTTAAGAAATCTTGTGTACAGTCACAGGCAAGAAATAAATTATTACTCTTTTAACCACATCTACTAGATTGGCAACCATTCATGACTCCCATAGTTTACCATGTCCCTCTGCCCAGAAAACAAACCCCTCTTTCATATGAGACTGATACATCTTCTCCTGACTCAGATCTCCATGAAAACATCCTGCAGAGTGCCTTAATACTCCCTGCAGTTTGGTCTACAATCTAGTAGATTCTCTTATTGCAAAGTAAAGTCTTGAGTCAATTTGATTCTCAAACATTTCTTTCAGATTACCAGATTAGAGATGTCCTTCTCTCAGGATTCTTCTCCTTTCAACAGTTTTTTCCCCCTGGTGCTATTTAAATCTGCTGGAGCCCATTCTATTAACAAGTTCTTCTTGTTACAAGTCCTTCCCATAACTTGTCTTCCCTGTAACCCTGTGCTGACCAGGTAATTCTTATTGTCAAGAAATTATAAGCATGTGTCATCTTTTCTTTAAAATAAGCTTCCACTGTTGAAAAAAAAGTTGTATCTTACCCTTTCAAGTACTATCTGCAGACACTCTGATAGTAGGGGAATTCCTATTGATATCCTGCCACTGCCATTTATTGCATGTATAGAAACAATTAACATTGTAAAAACCAGTTTATTATCATTGATATTTCCCTCTATATAACTTCATCATAACTCTAGATAAATGTTCATCAAAGAAGCTATCTATTTAATTGCATAGGTTTAGTGCTTTGGACAATAGGAAATTAATACTCATTCTGGAACCCCTACACACTAATTTAAAAAAGAAGAGCCCTCTGTCAATATAGGTGTACCAAAAGACATCAAGGTATAAAGCTTGCAAGCCCAGGTTCAAGAAAATAAAGATAAAAATCTGTGCCTTTTTTTCCCTAAGATAGTTAATTTACTAGTGTTTAACAATGCCATGAGCTTCTGTGAACGAAAAGGAATACTGCACATTCACTACTTGGAAATATTATCACTAAGTGGAGCGTTAAGAACCTATATTTAGCACTGATTTATCTAGATATCCTTGGCTGGCAGGTTTCAGGAACTTCAAACTTACATTTTCTTACCTAGCTCAGTAACTTGTCGATCAAAAGGACACCGAACTGCTCTGCCATGAAGGGGAAGCCGGGTAAGACAGTCATGGCAGACAGTATGGCCACACAAAAGCAGCCGGGGAACTTTGTCACCTTGCAGAGAAAATACATCTTCACAGACTCCACACTCAAGAACCTGTAAGTTAAAAAAGACCATATTTGGTTTTTAGCCGATTAAAAAGCAAAACTTCATGCAGTAAGCCATATGTCACAGTTTATTTTACAAAAGTTCATGCAATCACAGCACATGAGTCAGGTGAGTCATTAATTTTGCTTTTTGCACACAACTAACGATATTTTTAAAGTAAATAAATAGACACAAGCAGAACGTTTTAACTCCTCAGTATCCCACCTGATGACCTGATAATTACTTCTTGCCCACTTCATTAAATGCACTGCCCAAGGAAAGCCGTCTCGTCAAGCAGCACAACTAAGTAAGGAGAAACACCCTCGCAGCAACGCGAAGCGGAGGACAAGACCCTGACAAAGCGGAGTGCTGGTCGGCGGAGAGCTTCCCTTAGCAGCTGGTGCACATAAAGAGGTCAGTCACATCAAGTTAGATACTTATGAAGCTATAAACGCAGCACCAAGGCAACGGGAACAAACAGCTGAGGGCCTGAACATCTTAAACCGCTAGCCAAAAGGAAAACTGATGGTCATTTAGGAGAAAAAAAAAAAAAAGGAAACCAAACACCGGACAACCCCTAAGCCCCGCCACCCCAGGGGACGCCTCCTGCACCACAGATGCCTCACTCCCCCTCCCCGGTCGGCACCGCCCGTCCCGCCGCAGGAGCCGAGCTAAGCCCAGCCACCGCCTCACCTTCACCGCAGCACCCGCCGGGCCGCGCCCGCCGCCACTGCCAGGCCCGCGGCCGCCGTCCGGCCCGGCCCCGGCCCCAGGCCTGTTTACAGCCAGGGCCGCCATCTCGGGGAGGGCGGAGCAGCGCGTCCCTGCAGGAAGGGGCAGGAGCCGCCTCAGGCACCGCCCCGCAGCACTACAGAACTACGGCTCCCGTGGTGCCGCCCGAGCCGACGGGCCGAGGACGAGGCGGGGCGGCCCCGGACCTCCTGCGAGCCCTGGGCGCTGTAGTCCCGCCCGCCGCGCTGCAGCCTGGGACGGCCGCGGCGGCCAGCGCGGCTCCGCCCGGCTCTCCCGGCCGCTGTGCGCGGTGGAGGCCATGGACGTCAACCAGTCGAAGCAGGAGCACTTGCTGGCTCTGAAAGGTACCGACAGCGCGGCCCCGCCGGCACCCGCCCTTCCCTGCTGCGATGGTGAAAGAGGGTGTTCGATCCGCAGCCGAGTGTGTTTCTCCCCTCCGTCTGAGGTGGAGGTGGATTAGGAGGCGGCCCGGCGCTGGGGCCTGTGGCGGGTGGTGCCTCAGGGCGCAAGGAGGCGGCGGGGGCTACTCTGAAATGCCCCGCACACGGGTGTGCATCTGGCGTGGTGGGGCTGCTCGGCGTGTCCGTGCTTTGCACAAGGCTTCGGTTGTGAGAAAATGTTTAGTTAAAATTTCCTTTTCAATTACCCTGCTCCCTCTTTTGTTTGTTTTTCCGGACGAATGGACGTAGTCTTGAACTATGTCGGGGAGGTTTTAGGCTGGGCTTTAGGAGGGATTTCTTCACAGAAAGGGGGATTAGATATTGTAATGGGCTGCCCAGAGGGGTGATGGAGTCACCGCCCTGGAGGTGTTTGAGGAAAGGCTTGGACGTTGCACTTTGTACCGTGCTCTGGTTGACATGGTGGTGTTCAGTCATAGGTTGGACTCAATGATCTCAGAGGTCTTTTCCAAACCAATTGATTCTCTGATTCCTCTTTGAGTGGATTTTACCCTTTTCACCTTGTGCTTAATGCATAGTTGCCAGGCTTACTTCCTTGATTAGGGGATCACGAATAGTGAAAATAAAATTGTGTATGTGTCTTGCATGCCTTGCAAAATTAATACAAGAGAGCCCTTTGAAGCTTTTGATAACTTCTGAATAATAAATGCTGCTAGTTATGTCGGTGCAGTAAACAGTTGGTTGCAATCTCAATTCTGCAAGCAGTCTGCGTCAGTCAGGGTGCCCAGATGGAAAAAGTAGTGCAGGTGTGGGGTTGATTTCAGAGCCCATCTTTTAGTTTTAAAACATTCCTGGACAGAGTTTTTAATGGTGTCTGCACGTTAGAGTAAAATCTGTTAACCAAAGCTCAACAAGCCCTTTTCGACTATGTGTATGTATATATACACAGAACAAAGTCAAAAACTGGAAAACGTGTAACATCATCAGCTAACAATACAAATCGATTTTGATAGTAACTAATTCAAAGCAAAAAGTTTTATGATGGGTCATTTTACTTTCATAAGAAACCAGTGCAGTCCTTGGGCTTGTATTGAATTTGGTGCAGTGTCCAGGCTTTAGATTTTGCAAAAGAAGTGGGCAAGATGTGAGGGCTTCTTTGCATTGTGACTGTACTAAAGAGAATTTTGACAATGCAATGACTAGGAAATCCTGGATTTTATTATTTTAGTATAATTTTATATTACTGATCAGGGAACCTGAAATGATTGCAAACTTCTTAGAGGGTGGGAAAACAGGACAGCAATAGAGTGCATGTTATATTTACATTTCGTAACAGCGTTTGTAGTTTTCCCTTCACCATGCTTCTGCATTTGATGTATTCTTTTAATGAAATTATAAAGACTTTGAGTGCTTAGTAAGTCTTTTAGTTATTCTAAAAGTCTAATATATGAAGGAATTATCAGTTCCTTGAATTAAGGTTGCATGTATTGCTTGGAAGCTCTGAGACTAAAACTGAGTGTTGTAGTTCTGATATGAAATGGAAACATGCAGCTTTTATTTGCCTAGAGCACTTCTCTTTTAACTTTTTACTTTAAAGACTATTGTATTGGTCAGTACTATTTCAGGAAGGGTTTTTGTAAAACACGTGTTGCTTTATATGCCCTGGCTTAAAATATTGATGTGTAGGAGAAAAACATTTTAAAAAAATTTTGTCTGCTAAATTTGAGAAAATAGGCAGTACTAATTTTATGACTTTTAAATACATCACAATAATACAGCAAGAACAGTGATGGATGGCAAGTGCGAGATGGTGACAGTAAAAGAATTCTCTTGCGAAGGGACTGTGTTGAATAAACATTGTGCATGTGGATCATGTTCAGTGTACAGCCGCTAATGTTCAGCCTGGATAAAGTAGAATGTTCTGATACATACCTCAGTTATTTTTACTACCTCTTTTTTGAAAAATGTCCTAACAAATGTTTGTCTTAATGTGGTAGTATCTTATTGTTTTATAATACTTCTACTTTAGGTCCTGTTTTCCAGTGATCTTTGCATCAAGGAAAAGGAAAGGGCAAGGAGTTTCTTGTAAATAAGATGTTTCAGTCTAGATTTGAGAATCCTAATCAAGAGACTGTTTTCCTAAGAATCACTGGATTCCTACGGTACAAGCATGGAAGTGGTTTTGCATTATCGACCACATCAGAGAGATGTAATAAAACTGCAGAAATTTGCAGAAGCAGCAGTGAAGGAGTTTCCCATTCGTGAGTTACCAAGATTTGCACCCTGGTTTCCAAATGATTTATACCAACTTCCCCTCAAACCAAAAAAGCAGGCACCTGTTATTTCTCGTGAGGAAGCTGAAGAATTGAAACATCTTTCTACGCCTTCAGAATATGTTACAGGATCTCCTGATTATGACTGCACAAAGAATCTCTTTGAGTTTCAGTGTAGCATGAAACATGGTCCAACTTTAATGCAAGCACAAGCTGTTCACAGACCAATTAACTTGGATTATCAAGGACAACCACCACCTAAAGGAAAACAAAAGTTGAAAAGGTCTTGGAGTATCTCTCTTCCTAGCACTAAACTTAAAGAAAAGGTTCTTCCTTTATCTCAAGAACTGCAAAATAATTTGGAAAGATTAAAACTGCATGCATTTTATAGAGCAAAGTGGACAATTGAACAATCTATTTGTAATAATCAGAATTTGGAGGACATCTGGATAAAACTGAATAGACTGATCAAGGAGAATGAATTGCCATCTTGCAATGCTACTATCCGAAGATCTGTGGGACAAATATGGATTTTCTGTGATATATTATACTGTGAATATGTTAGAAATATTCTTAGGGAAAAGCTAAACCTTACAGATAAAATGGATTTGCTTGTACATAAATATGGAATTATATTTAGTTTATAATTTAAGATACAGTTTAATAATAAAATACTGTCTGGAGTACTAGAGTTTTTAAGCAGTTTAGAATATAGAGACTTTAGAACAACTGATGAATTAATAAGCAAAAAACTACTTATATTACTTTGCTACAGTTTTCTAACTATCGATGTATTTCTTTAATTTTGTTTTGCCTGAAGACTTATGGTTCATTTAAGATTAGTAAGTTTCTGTTTGGCTTAGTACTGCATTTCCAGACTATTTTGGCAAGCTGTGTCAGATAATAAAATCTATGCTTTCAGTCAAACAAAGTACATCCTTTCTGCTTCTTTGAAATTAGGAGAAGGAAAAATGTTTTTAAATGAGTTGTAATAAGTGCTATTTTATATCTAATTATTTTTGACATTAAGACTTTCAAGATCTGATTATTTCCTCAAAGTAAAGTGTGTGAGTTTTTTTTAATGAAGGCATATCCCTTGCATGAAGTACAGACTTACTTTTTATGTGGCATGTATGTGCTATCTTAGTAATGTTAGCTGTACTTTTCACTGAAATACTAACGATAGCTTCAGTAGAAATTGTGTACTGAAAAATATGAACCATTTAATAATTGCTGATTTACAGCTTTGGTAAGAAGATTACTTCTTCCAGATGTTTCTGTTACTTTGCCTCTAATTATATTAGGGACAAGAAAGCACTACTGAGCACTAGAAAGTGCTTCTAGCTACAAGTGAAGAAATTAAGAAATGAGACTTCTATACATAAACCTCTATTTGTTGTCATTATGGAAGGTAAAGGTCTCTGAGGGTTTGAACAGTCATAAGTCATGAGTTCATCATGACTTTTTGTCATCTGAAAGAATAAAGTTTTCAAAGGTCATGCTGTCCTTGCTCAATCCTTATGTTGAATAATTATATTATAGACATTACAGGAGCCCCTGGTGGTCTAGTGGTAAGGGCGCGGCGCTGTCACCGCTGAGACCCGGGTTCGATTCCCGGTCAGGGCCACTCCCGGGCAGGTGGGGCTCGTTAGCCCTTAAAGGCAACCCACCTACGTCCTAAGGACCTCGCTGCCACCGTCCAAGCTCGCTTGGCCCCGGCAGATGAACCTTAGGATTAAAGGGTGGGCTCAGTTCCGCGCACACTGTGTCTCACCTAAAAAATCCAATGCGCAGGCTGGAAGGGGTAAAGACCTTCCCCGGATCTTCGCTCGCGAAGACTGGCCATTATTATTAAGACATTACATTTTTTTAAATATTAAAATTAAGGATATTGCTCGGTTTGGGTCATTGACATGTATTTTTGAACTCTGACTGAATTTTAAAGGGGTCTTACACTGATATTTGAAGTGTTTGTGCCATTTAAATATGACCACTTAGCAAAATTAGTGCAAAATGCTGTCTGGTGTAACTGAGGATCATTATTAGTTTTTGTAGCTTCTACAGCCAAATTATTTCACTGAAATTATATTTCTGACTTTAATAGTAACAAAGTGTCTTTGCGCATCAGCATTTTTGAAGATAATAATGAAGTAGAATGCAATGTGATTTGAATTTTATTTGGTGTTGTATTTTGTGTCTAGGATCTTAGAAGAAAAGTGCTGAGACGTTGTCCTGCAAAGCTACTGTATTTTCTAATATTAATTTGGTAGTCTTATTAAATATAATAATATATCTATAGTAGTTTTTCTCTGTTTTGACTTCATTCTGTGATGTATTATTTATTGCCTGAAATGTCACTGAACTTTCCTTAGAAACAGTCAGCAGCTACTAGTTTATACAGACTTAGTGTAAATTTGAATAAAATTAAGTAATGCAAATAATACAGTCCCACTATATTTAATTGATATACTGACAAAAGAGCTAGATAAGCATCTTACTAAACAGAAGGGAGGGATCACTGTCACTGCAGCTGTCAGCTTTCTGCTGCTTTGGCTTATATGTGAATAATGATAAATGCTCTTCTAACCTCAGCTGGGTAAGTGTCATGTAATAAAGAGCGAATACCACCTTAGACTTACAGAATTATTACAGTCTTGGGTAGCACCAGTGTACCAGCTGAAATCCAGGCTTTCTTTTTGTTCTATTGAAGAAATGCTTGGTTCATATGCACGTACAATTCGGTATTTTGTTTTTAATTTTCAATGTTGAATGTGGTTCCCCATTTATTTAGTTTTATGTATCTTTTTAATATACCTCATGGTTTTAAGCCTTCAGAAGTTGTATTTTTCAACTTCTCACCATACAAAGAGAAATTATTACCTTTTTTTATGTGAAAAGTGAGAATTGTGTCAATGCTAACATGCGTAGGTCTGCTGTGTGGTAGTGTAACTTCTTGTGAACCAACAGCCCACTGTACCCAAATGGATATCGAAGTAATTCAATACTTTACACCACTGGAGACAGTGAATGCTCTCTAGATATATAAGTCCTACAAAATGCAGTAAAAATAAAGCCTCAATACATATGGCCAGTGCAAGGATGTTGATTAACTTGTTGCAGTCAAGAGAAATCCTTTTGGTTTATTTTTTTAGTTTTAGTTGGTTTTATGTTTGTTAAGTTTCAAAGAAAGAAAACCCAATGATTTTTACATATTCAGATCAACACCTAAGGTTAAAAAAGCTCAATTTTGTTACAGGTGAATGGTTTCATGATAAGCTATATACAAGATTAGGGCTGTGGTTAATGTAAATATGGAGGAATTCTTTTTAAAAGTAGCATCTTAAAGCTGTTACATAAGTAAAAATAATGTAATTTTGAGAATGAGTTAAAATAGACTTTGAAAATATAACTTCCTTGAAGTTTTTTAAATAGCAAAATCTCAGTGGTTTTGATTTTCTCACTATCAATAAAATTGTTTTGTTGTAAATATGTTCCTGAGGTTTTTGTGATGATTTTCTTGGCTTGAGTTTAAAGGTTGTGGCTTAAAGAAAAAGCAGTTATATAAATAATGTAGGCTTTTGGACTTGTGACTCTGCCTTGTGTATGTGTTATAGTAGGGTGTAAATGCAATTCCTTATAGACTGGTGTTTGACTGAAAGGGTCTGTCTTAGCCATCATATCCCATTCTAGAGCAATCAGGATCACAGGACAGATGCTTAACTGAAGAAGTCCACAAAAAAGTTAAACACTTTTGAGGACCACAGAGCCCTTAACTCTGTAATAGGTATAAGACCTTTAGCATATAAAATTGAAAGCAGTAAATGTCAGTACACTAAGGGAACAAAGCAAGAGGGAGCAATGGCATTACCAGTATTCTTGGTTCTCAGAAGAGCAGGGAATCTTTTTATATTGTGGAAGTCCGGGTGGTCCAAGAAGGTGTTACTCTTTCTCAGGCTAAGTTTTATTCAGTGGTTGTGGTTTGGTGGGGTATTTTTGGTGTAAGGAGAGCAAGACAAAATTATACTTTAAAAAAACTTTTAAAAATAATTACTTAATTGACCTGTGATTTATTTTATGACTTTTGCAGTGATGAGGCTAACCAAACCTACTTTATTCACTAATATTCCGGTGACTTGTGAAGAAAGAGATTTGCCAGGTAAGTTTTTTCTACTGACTGATTGTTATGTATGTATTACAAGGTTTAAAAGAATGTAACCATCTAAGATTTAGATATTGGAGGAGCCTTATGACCTACCTCTCTTAGAGGGGAACTCTGAAACAGCTGTATATTTTAGATTTGGTAATAATTAAAGGAAGGTGCCAAGGTGCATTTTACAGCTCTTGGTCTACAGCTTTGAAAGCTTAGTGATGATACTCAAATGCATGACCTCAAAGTCTGAGCAATTAACACAAAATTGAATGCAGTTCTGTGAGAGAAATGTATAAGTGGAGAAAGCTTGTCATTACTATCTTTTTTTATCTGGGGAAAACGACCTGGTAATTAGAACCAACACATGAGTGTTCTGTGGAAAACAGTTTTGCAAGACTGGTTTTGAATTGTGTTGTGCTTAGTGTGCCATCATAAGTTGGAAAGCCCTGAGTTTTCCCACAGAAATAGTTGAAGTCTAGAAGTCAAGTATAAGAGTCAAAGGGAAGATTCAAGAAAGAGGATTGTGTGGAAATACAAAGCAAGCAGGGGAAGAAAGTAAGTGAGGTTGATTAGTTCTGTTATATAATGTGCTTTACTTGGGTAGAATTTCCCGTAAAATTCAGTGTTAATTTGAACTATGCCTTTGGGATTGTGCCCTTCAATATGTATACTGGATAAATTATTGGACACAAGTGTGTGGAAGTTAAATTATAATTTAAAGGCAGGCCTATGGATATGTATTTTTCCCCTAAATAAGTTTATTATAAAATAAATATATCTAAAAAAACCCTACATCTGAACAAGTGATTAAGTATCTAACTTAAATGTAGACAAACCTTTAGACTTAGCAAATATGTAATTAATAGTAACTTGACATTTCTACAGGTAATCTCTTTAATCAGCTCATGAAAGATGATCCTTCTATTGTAAAGGGTGCGGAAACTTTGATGTTAGGAGAAATGCTGACGCTGCCTCAAAATTTTGGGTAAGAATGAATTGTTGTAACTGTAACATGCAAGGTTTAGGATTCATTTAATAATAATGTGTTTATTACTTCTCTTTGTATTTGAACACCGTTGTAATGCAATGAGATTTTCAGTAATTTTAAAAATAAACTGTGGTTTGATTTCTAAATCTAAATCTATCTACATATGTGTGTGTGTGTGCTGCCTGATGTTTCTTTTCTGTAGCCTGACTGAGTTTAATAAGCATTGAAAGTTGGAAGAGATTTGCAGCTGTGGGTGAATGACTAATGGAATACTCTGCTGTAAACCCCATCTTACATTAACAGAGTTTACTACCACGATGCTTTGGGTACTGGAAGCCATCTTGTTCTTCTCAGATATTGAGCAGGGAAAAAAAATCTAATTTGTTTGTTCTCTTTTGAGGCTGTTTGTCTTAAAAAGATGATTTCAGAAGTATGAATGTGAAGATGCCAATGTTCTTCTAGGATTTAATCCAGCAAACATGTGTGTGTGCATATATTTTTTAAATTAGAACTAAAAGATGTTTCAGTGACATGTTCTGGTTTTTTAGTAACTGTTACTAAAAATATTTTATTTTTCCTGAACTGCAGGAACATATTTCTGGGTGAGACGTTTTCCAGTTATATTAGTGTGCACAATGATAGTAATCAGGTTGTCAAGGACATACTGGTGAAGGTATGTGAAGATAAATCTACTTACTGGAATTCTAAACAAATGTGATGAGTATGTTTTCTGGCAATATATTGTATATATATAATGCTAATATATAGATTGTAGAAAATACATGTCACTTTTTCCAATGCAGAAAATATACTTGGAAATTAGAAGCAGACATAAAAATAGAAATTTCTATAGAAATCTTTAAAGATTAAAATGAAAAATTATGATTGTGTCAAAAAATGGGTATATTACAGAATCACAGAGTTGTTAAGGTTCGAAAAGACCTCTAATATTGACAAGTCTGACTGTTAACCCAGCACTACCAAGTCCATCACTAAACCATGTCTCTAAGTGCCACATCTACACCGTCCCCACAGAGTTGGTACTCAGCCACTTCCCTGGATAGCCTATTCCAATGCTTGACAACCGTTTTGGTGAAGAAATAGTTGCTGCTATACAATCTCAACCTCCCCTCGGTAAACTTGTGGCCATTTGCTCTTGTCCTATTGCTTGTAACTTAAGAGACCCACCCCCATCTTACTGCAATCTCCTTTCAAGCATTTCTGGAGAGCAACGTGGTCCCTCCCCTGAGCCTCCTTTTCTCGAGGCTGAATGGCCCCAGCTCCCTCAGCTGCCCCTCATCAGTTGTGCTCCAGACCCTTCACCAGCTTCATTGCCCTTCTCTGGACACACACCCTTGTATGCAAAGCTTCTCTGAAGAATTTGTCTAGCAAAACTTCCACAGCAAAAAATATGGAGTTATATTCACTTGTATGCTCAGTGGGGTCGTCAGAGCAAGTCTCTGTGAAGTGTACACTGGTTTGTATTTTGTATGAGTTATTTTCTAGTGCTGCTTTGTTTTTTCGTGTTTCCTGTTTAACAAATAAAACACTGAGATTAGAAATTCCAAAAGTCATTGTGGAACTCAATGTAAAAAGTAAATAAAGATTTTATAAACTGCATGTTAAAGGACTAGACCACTTGCAAGTTTCAGAACTTTTCTTTAGCTTTGATAAGTATCTTATCATCTTAATATATAATATGTATGAAAGCGCGTAGGGTACAAAATGCTCAGTGAGACCTAGTACTTTATAATGTAAGTTACTTTCTTTAGATAGTTTTAAGCAGCTGCAGTTCTAACCAATGCTTTGTTTTTCTGTCTCCAGGCTGATCTTCAGACAAGTTCTCAGCGTTTGAACCTTTCAGCTTCTAGTGCTGCAGTGGCAGAACTTAAACCTGACTGTTGCATTGATGATGTGATCCATCATGAAGTAAAGGAAATAGGAACACACATGTAAGGTTTTAAATTTTTCTGTTATTGAATGATCTTAAATAAAACTGCAGCACAAGCATACTGTTCTGCTTTTGATATAGGTTTAAAGTAACTCAAAATTATCTTTTAAAAAATTGTTTCTTTTCAGCTTAGTTTGTGCAGTAAGTTATACTACGCAGACTGGAGAGAAGATGTATTTCAGAAAGTTCTTCAAATTTCAGGTATTGTATGAAGTATTCCACTCTACTTTTAATAAGTGTATGTGTCTGAAAAACTGATTTTAAAACATTTGGCACTTCGAAAGCACTTTTACGTAACAAAAATTTGTTCACTTTTAAAAGTGAACTATTAAAAGCCATCACTTCAAACTTTACATGAACTGGTGGTTTCTAATTATCATACAGGTAAA